ACCCGTGTAAAAAAAAAATCGTTTTAAAATTGTCGTTCGTTTAAGATCTTAAACGTGATACAAACTAAGACTATTTTAAGACTCTTTTAAGACGTCAAAAGAAAAATTCCGAGAGCAGATTTTTTAAAATTTTGTTCTCGAATTTGTTGTGAAAATTAATTTTTAGATGATTTTACGACTTTCTAACCGCAATTTTTTTGAGTAAGATGTTTTTAAATTGAATTTAAAATTGTTAAAAAATTATTATTTGACAATTTTAAGACTTTTTTAAGACGTTCTGTTTTAATGTTCCGGGGCTCTGTCGCTGTTAACCTATCTTAAAATAGTCTAAATTTTTTGTTAAGATTTTTTTTAAGACTAATTTAAGATAATTTTGAGACAATTTAAAGACGCTCCATAATAATTTTCCGGAGCTGCCACTGTGATGTTATCTGAAAATAGCCTAAAAATTTTTTAATATTTTTTTTTCAGATTTCTTTAAGACTATTTTAAGATTTTTCAAGACTATATAAAAATTATTTTAAAACTTAAATCTTAAAATAGTCTTAGAAAAATCTTAAAATCGTCTTGAAAAAATCTTAAAATAGTCTTAAGAAAATCAAAATAATTGTTAAAAAATCTCGGAATTTTTTTTTTTTTTGGCATCTTAAGAGTCTTAAAATAGTCTTAGTTTGTGTCACGTTTAAGATCTTAAATGAACGACAATTTTAAGACGATTTTTTTTTACACGAGTGGTTGTTCAAAATTCCTTTTTTCGAGTTATCTTTGAATATTTTACATATTGATTTGCTAACTTAGACTTGAACATTGGATAAACTTTATTTACCTCGATAATCTAATACGCATTTTAATTTTAATATTGAACAATCAAAAGTTTCTTTTTTGTCTTTACTGAATGGACAATTTATTAAAGTCAACTGAGATTTACTTTATCCTAAAGAATTTTGTTTTAATAGAATTAATGGAAAAATACTGCAGTCACAACAATTCTAAAACATAACAATCCATCGGCTCTCATTTATATATTTCGTAAATTCAAACACGTAATAAATATTAAAACTATTTTCTCAATTCAGTTTAGTTTCGCGAAAGAAATTTCATTAAATAATTTTAAATAAGCTATTAATTTAACAGATGAGTGTACATTATTAAATATGATTTAATTTGAAAAAGGAATTCTAGTATTTTTGAAGAAAAATTATCTACTTTAAATAACAAAAAAGCTGAACTCGTTAAAAAATAAAAAATTACAACTGACTTTTTAAAATATCCAACCCGTTCTTTTTCTGATACGCTATTTTCGATGAACAGGTTAATTAATAATTAATAATTAGTAATCGAGTAATGAGGATCAACCATTTTATGGATTATCAAAATTAGTTAACTATCAATCCTTGTCAATTGTATAAACTTTATATATTTTACGTAACTCAGCTGTGGGCATGATTAAAAAGAGAAAAATAATAATAATAATAATAATAATAATAATAATAATAATAATAAAATAACAACGTTCGCAACAGTAAAATCAATGTTTACTATTTATATTAAGTTATTACAAGTTAACAATACACAACATGAAAAGAAAAATACATAAATGCATCGGGTGAAATAATAATAAACGTTCAGGCAAGAGGTTTATTATATTAACACACAATAAACAGAAAAGTGTTTTTTTATGTTTCTTTGCAAAGATCGCCCACGTAGTGAAGTTTGCGCGACTACTACCGCAATTCATACGCAATGCTAAACCGTAACGAAATTTTTTATAAATTTTTTTATTTCATTTTACATCTTATGTTTTACTGTACTTGTTACTTTTTTTAAACTCTTTTTTTATACTCCAACACATCGCTAGAGTAGCCGACACAATAAAAAATATTAGTCGAGTATAATGAGTGAGAACGTTTTTTTTTGTTGCTGTGTACTCGAAACCCGGACCTAAAATTTTTAGGGCGTGAGTATTCTACACTCACTACGTGCGACATAACGCGTGTGTAATTAATGGACTAATGTTTCTTTTTTGCACTATAACCATGCGGTAAAAGTTTATGGCAGTGTCGGCATAAAGGTAAATTATATACATAGCACACGTGTAGCTAAATTGAACGTTTGATCAAGAAGATATATTTTTTATTCCGTCATTTTTTATTTTATTTTTTTTTTTTGTTTTTTGTTAACAACTATCATTTATATTTTACGGATTTTATATAAAATTTACCGTGATGTCAGAGGTCAATTTGTGTGGGAAAAGTATTTCAAACATTGGACCTTCAAAATTACCTTCTACAGTGTAGTATTACTTGTAATAATGACATTGTAAAAATTACAATCATTTGTTCACCTTTTAATATTAAAATTAATACCAAAATGACTATGAAAAAAATTATTCCATTTTGTATCGATACGTTTAATTCAATTCTTAGATTTCATAAGTTGAAGAGAAGTAAAAAACTTGTTTTAAATAAATCCTTGAATTTTATGAGAGGACAACATCCATTGTTTATAATTTTTTGTAATAATCATTTATACCAGTTTATGATGAAATTCCATTTCGATAACGCTCTTTGTTGTTTATTGTTCATCCAATAAACATTAATAGTGGCAATATTGATAATGATAAGCATAATAATTATTATTATTTATGGCTGGTATAGAAAAACTACTCTTGTATTTTGGACTATTTATCGACTGTAGAGGATTTAATTAGACCTTTGGAGACTTAAAATCTGAAATAAATTTCTCTGGCAGATGAAAGAATTGAATTAAAATAAATGATTCAGAGTTTCTAATGAACCAAGTTAGATTTAAAGTAAAGTAATTATATAATGATAATTAAAAAATTATATAAATTAAAAAAAAAGTTAATTTTTAACAAAAATGCAATGTTAAATTCAGGCATTAAATCTAAATAGGTAAAATTAAATCTTCTTTAGTCCTAATAAGTTAATTTTCAGCTTATATACCTATTTAAGTTAAAAAAAGTTCTGTGTACATTTTTAAAATTCATGTCAGTTCAATCAGTGCTTACGATTTCGATTCGGAATTCAAAAATTTTATGCCTTCAATCTCGTCATGTTGGTTATAGAGACCGAAGTCGTCGAGCGATATTTATCGACTTAATTACAAAGCATATTATATTCAATCAATCTGATCAAATTTTACAACTATGAACAGTTATCCTTAAGAAAGAATAATTTCGTTTTCGTCAAAGAACGTTGTATTGTTGGTTCGAAAACTAGTTTCTCTGTTCGGAATAGCAAAAAAAAATTGTATTGAAAAATTACGTTTATGCTTCAAAATCTTGAAAAGTATTTAAAATTTTTTTTACAATATAGAAAATGGCAACAATCTCATTATGAAAAAAACCTTAGATTTTGAAGTATTCAGTCAGAATTAATTATTAAATTTGTTGTTTGATGTTCTTTTGAAACTAAATTATATTACGAGTCTCGTTCTCGATGATGTTAACATGTAGTAGTGTCTACTGCCTTAAGATTCCACAACTTTTTAGAGTATTTGAATTCAAATTTCCCGCTCCCGCTTGTGGCGCCCCTATGTGGGCCACGTCGACAGCTATATTCTATGTTCTCATTGTTGTTTTTTGTGCCAACGGGTGAAATTCGCCTCGAAGCACCAAAAGTTAACCTAGGTGTACCTATGACGGAGGCTGCTACCAAAAGAGATAAACATTTTGTTGAATTGCAAAATGCAATAGGCTCTGCTATCGCAGTGCAGGCGGCAGCAATCTCCATGATGCTAGAATCATCTCCAAGAGAGGATATTGACCAAGAGTCATTTTGTGAATTATTGTCGCATGCAGGACAATTGTTGACTGATACTTTTTATCAGTTGTCAGTAACTAGAAAGTCTTTTATCACTCCTTTGATGGATAAAGTCTATAAATCATCTTTAGACGAAGCGAAAGCGGATGAGTGGCTGTATGGTAAAAAATTCACTGAGCAGGTAAAGGAGGTAAAACTCCTAGAAAAAACTAGTTCTGGCTTAAAGCCTGCAGTTAAAAAAGCAAATCCTCCGAAGAGTTCGGGAAATGGGAAGTACCCACCTGCGAAGCCCAAGCAGGTGGGTACAACCCAGTGGAAAAAACCAACCTTCAGGTTCACCAGAAAAACGAATTACTCACAGAACCAGAGCACGGGCAGGACATCCAGCCGGTCTTCGAACCCGGCAACGTCCAAGAAATAATACAGCTGAGCACAGGTCGATTGAAACATTTCGTAAAGGAATGGAGGAAAATTACAACAAATCAGTTCATATTGAGCTGTTTGGAAGGGTACAAAATTCCGTTCCAAGAGACTCCGTGTCAAGGTAAACCTCCACCTGAGAAAAATTTCTCAGAGGAGGAATGGAAAAAACTTGATACGGAAGTTAATAAATTGCTGGACAAAACAGCAATAGAAAAATGCATAGAGGAGCCTGATAAGTTTATTTTGCCATTTTTCCTTATCCCAAAACCTGATAACTCATATAGATTTATCATTAATTTAAAAAATTTAAACAAATTTATAAGAACTGAACATTTTAAAATGGAGGATATTCGCTCTGCTAGAAATTTAATTTCAAAAAATATGTACATGTGCTCAGTCGATATAAAAGATGCCTACTACTTAATACCAGTTCACGAAAATTATAAAAAATTTTTACGTTTCAAGTTCCGGAAAAAAGTTTTTCAATTTACTTGCTTGCCTTTTGGTCTCTCTACGAGCCCTTATGTCTTTACAAAAGTCATGAAACCAGTAATTAAAAAGTTACGGGAACTAGGAATCTTACTGGTAATTTATATAGATGATCTATTAATTTTGGGTAATACTTATGACTCTTGCTTAAGCAATACAAAAATCGCGGTACGTCTCCTTGAGACTTTGGGGTTTGTGATTAACTTTAAAAAAAGTAATTTAATCCCAACGCAAACTTGTCAATACTTAGGTTTTATATTAAATTCTCGCGATCTCTCATTAGAATTAACAGAAAAGAAAAAAGAACGAATATTAAATTTATTGGAAAAATTTAGAGAGAATAAATGGTATAAAATTCGAGATGTAGCTCAGTTACTAGGAGTCTTAACAGCAGCAAGTCCTGCTGTTGCTTATAGTCAAACGTACAGCAAGAGACTAGAAAGAGAGAAATTTCTTGCTCTTGTGTTTAATGACAATGATTTTGAAGGCAAAATGGTTTTAAAAGACTTCCTAATTAAAGATTTATTATGGTGGAAAAAGAACATAGCTATAGGGATAAATCCCTTTCGAACACATAACTATGTCGTGGAAATCTTCTCGGATTCATCCCTAACCGGATGGGGAGCGCACTCAAATGGTCGCAGTACTTACGGGTTTTGGAGTGCGAAAGAAAGAAAACATCATATTAATTATCTAGAACTTTTAGCAGCCTTTTTTGCCTTGAAATCATTTGCAAATAAGCTATCGAATTGCGAAATTTTGTTAAGGTTAGACAATACAACAGCGTTAGCATATGTTAACAAAATGGGTGGAGTAAAATTCCCGCACCTCAGTGAATTGGCGCGTGAAATATGGCAATGGTGTGAAGGGAAAAAATTGTGGATCACTGCCGCATATATCCCTTCAAAAGAAAATTATGAAGCTGACAAAGCTTCTAGACAAAACAATATAGATTCCGAATGGGAATTATCGGGAGATATATTTGGAAAAATTTTTAATAAGTTCGGGCCTTTCTCGGTGGATCTTTTCGCGTCAAGGCTAAACAAAAAATGTACGCGTTTTTATTCGAGATTTCCGGATTCATGGGCCACAGTAATTGATGCATTTACAGTGTCTTGGGATAAGGAAAGATTCTATGCATTCCCACCATTTGCTGTAATTTTACGGTGTTTACAAAAAATTAAACGAGACAAAGCAGAGGGTATTCTAGTTGTTCCTAAATGGCCAACTTAGCCATGGTATCCTCTCTTTATGTCTCTTTTAAAAAAAGAACCTATGGTTATCAAACCAGCACAAAACTTACTATTATCTCCTTGCAGAACCAAGACGCACCCATTAGCAAGCAGTCTCTCCCTGATGGTCGAGAGCTTATCCGGACGGCTTTCCTGAGGAAAGGACTAAATGAAAAATCAGCTGAAATAATGGCGGATTCAATCGCAAGCTCTACACTAAAGCAATACCAAAGTACCTTTAAACTATGGATAGATTTTGCAAAGAAGAACAATATCAATGTACTTGAAGCTAGTGTTCCAGAAGTAATATCCTTTTTAACAAAAAGATTTGAAGAGGGAGCCAGCTATAGTACATTGAACACCACCAGATCAGCAATAGCTCTTATTTCAGGTTCAGATTTATCATCAGATGAGCTTCTCTCAAGATTTTTGAAAGGGGTTTACAGGAAAAAACCTACTAAACCACGTTATTCAAGCACATGGGACGTTTCACCAGTGCTGGAATATTTAAAAAAGTTGCATCCACTCAAAGACTTAAAATTGAAAGAAGCAGCCGAAAAAGTAACAACTTTATTAGCATTAACGACTGCTCATAGGCTTCAAACGCTGGCATTAATTAATATTAAAAATATCAAGGTATCAACTACAGGAATAACAATGAAAATTCCAGATATAATAAAAACGTCTAAGCCAGGCTCGAATCATCTCAAACTAACAAGGTAAGGGAGAAGACAACACAAAAATGAAAAAATAAGGAAACTCTAAACATAATGAGAACATAGAATATAGCTTTCGACGTGGCCCACATAGGGGCGCCACAAGCGGGAGCGGGAAATTTGAATTCAAATACTCTAAAAAGTTGTGGAATCTTAAGGCAGTAGACACTACTACATGTTAACATCATCTTCGAACGAGACTCTTCATATAATCTCGATCAAACGAGCCCGCCTTCGGCGGGCTCGTTTGATCGTACAATAGTCTTTAAGGTTGACCTCAAATTTTAATGGCTTTCTATACATCACATATCTCAAGTTACGCATTTAGAAGATTAAGGTGACATTAGGATTATTCTAACAGTCATCGAATGCGCTTATCAAGATCAAGAAACTGTAATTCGAAGTTTAGTTTCTGAAAATTTCTTCTTTTGGTAATCGAAAAATTTTAAGCTCTAATTCTGATGAGATTTAGATCAGATTCAATTTTAAGTTAATTTCTATATTTTTAACACTGAAAATATTATAAGTAATCTATAATTTAATTTAAAAACGTCACGAATTTTCTTAATTGTTTTTAACTTTCGAAGTCATTACACCCCAATACATTTAATTTTATCCAGTTAGCTTTTTTTTTAAATTTCCACATTCCTTGTAAAAAAAAACGAGGTTTGCAGATTTAAATAGAATCTATAACTAGATCATCGAACTTTTCACTAATACTCCATCTAGTTATAAAAAATACGAAGAAAAATATTTAACAAACAAACGGATTTGATATTTATTTTAAATATGAATTCATCTATGAGGTATAATAGTACAATTTATTCATGTTTCTAATAAAATTTTATTTCATTTCAATGTTATTGATTTTATACGGAACAATAGTTGATACATTAATAAAAAACAATGTTTGAAAAATCTACATCGGTCTCGTTCATTGTATTAGAAATAAATTTTCAAAATTAACTTAAAAAATTATTTTGAATCGAAAGTTTGGTATGGCAGAAAGAAAATTTTCTTCTTTATTATCAACAAAAATTGTTTCTGTAATTCACTCTTCTTTACTTGAGATTAGAAATGACAAATTAAAATATGCAAGATAGATAGAGAAAAAATACTCAAATATATGCTTGAGATATGAAAAAGACGAAAATATGTTCATGGAAATGTTTTATGGAAAATATGTATTAGAAAATTTATCGATTATGATATCTTTTAAACAGTGATAAGTGTGATGACAAAAATTAATAGGACTCTTCCTTAAGATTAATAGAAACTTATTCGACAAAATTTGACTTAATTTGATGCATTTATTATTCTGAATCTTGATTACTAAATAACGCATGCATGGGCCAACGAACCGCTATACCTAAAATTTATACTTAAAATTTTTGTTATGTATTAAGGAAATGAATTAAAAAATACAAAGATTTAATGATTTAAAGTCTATAGCTGGTTAAAATGTCGAAATATTCACAAATTTTCCGTTCAAATAAAAAAATAAAAACGTTTTAATGCAGTAAAATTTTCATAAAATGGCAAGTCGGGAGTAGAACACTCCTCATATATCACCACGATGTAATGCGTGCAGAAAACATTGAATCGAAACAAAAGCCTAACTAATGTTGCGATTTGATTCTGAAAAACCAGATGAAACTGGCTAAATTCTGTTGGCTCGCATAAAAACGTCTAATATAGTGAGAAAATCAAGTCAAATATAACGAGCGTCTATTGTAGATACTATACTCACTATAGTATTCTCTAGCTAGACAAGAAGCGCCCCACAAAGAAGAGGTCGAGAATATAAGAAACAAGAAACACTGCATAACGTATTCTATCTCATTCTCTCGTACGTTAAATCCTACAGATGCATCCATTTGTTTTTTTTAATTATCACTTTTTCGTTTCATCGAGTTTCAAATAACAACAGAGCTAAGCAAGCTTTAAGTTCAAAAATTAATTTAATTCAAGAGATAAATTCTTTAGTCAGGAATATCATTTTGAAGAACTTCATCCTTGTGATTTAAATAGGAAAATTTTTGAATTGTGAAATTTTTCTTGATTGAAATAAACTTTACTTGATTAAAGAATTTTTCTTTTGAATTAAGTAATTTTTTTTTTTCAAGTTTGGAAATGTTTATGGTCATATCAACTTGACTGGTCTAAACAGTTTTATTCTATTGTAACGATAGTAAACACAATAATTTTTTTTTCGTATTCATATTCATTATCATAACAAATGACTTTTTCTTCCACGCTATTTAGTCACATTTACCTGTTTATCTTGGCGCATAAAAACACAAAAGGAAATCCTTATTTGATGGTAATCGGCAAGTCACAGCGGTTTACCTTAGAATAATAAGTAAGTATAGTCATTTATTAAGATTTCACAGTAGCAATCAAGTCAAAAGGACCATCCAATCTTGAACTCGTTGCTTAACCGTATAGCAACCTACTATTCCTTAGTTAGACTACTGCAGAGTCAGAGAATTAATTGCAAGATAGTTTGCTCGTGGTGGTTTGTATAAGCAGCCAATGTGTATCCTGGAATACGAGTGCCT